AACAGTGTGTGAGCTCCTACCAAGGTTGTTGCAGACTCGTGGGTTGGAAGTGCGGCCAAAGACTCTTCATAGCCTCCTGTCCAGAGCTATTGAATTTTACGTTGCATATGTAACCACACCTCCAAAGGTTATGCAGGTAAGGTAGAACTACTTTTATTAGACTGATTTCTTTTGTCATATCATTTGTCTCCTGATAAAAAGAGTTACAAAGACAAAATGGGAATAAAAGTTTATCAGCAGGGTTTCAGTACGATGCATAATTCATCCCACAATTCTGTTATTAAAAATGGTCAATAGATATGGATTTATTTAACTGCTTTCACTGTTTAGACAGGTAATGTGAATTAAACAGAGAAGGATAATAATACATTTTAAATACTATTGCCACCTGTATATCATTCATTTTTATTGAAGGGATACAGACTATTATTGAAATATGACACACAGAATGCTAGCAACAGGCATATGTAAAATCTGGGGTTAGTATTAGGATTTCTTTTAAATCACTGGATCTCAGTTACATATATCCTATGTGTCTAACTCTACTTCAGAGTATGCTGGAAAGTGACAGCAAGATTGAAGACCCTTGGCAGCAGCTGTTTTCTGTCGTTCAGTTAATTGGCTGGAATCTGGGATGGGACTTGGCATCATACTTTGAGAATATCAGGTTCCAGAAAACTTTTGGTTCATTTTGGAAATGTTTGGAACACTTGCAGCAATAACTGGTCTGACTTGATAACTATTTCTTGATATATCATACTATTCCTAAAACCAATGATATTCTAATCACTTTACAGCAACAGGGAGATTATTCTCCAGAGGATACAGGCCTTGGTTGAAGGAGGAGCAAGACTTGGAGGCCCAAAGGGTGAAGGAGGAGAAGATGTGCGGGAGGTTTTGTATACCACACTGACAGTCTTCCTTCATGCACTAATGGATTACACTAAACGACTGTACCCTGATTTTAACCAAGGTATGTTGTTGTATTAACACCTATAGTTTTTGTTTGGCATAATAAATGTCAGCCATGTACTGCAAAAATTAGTTTAAAGTTAAAAGTTTAAACTTCTGTGATCCTGTTTTATTAATCATACATACCAAAGAAAATAAGTAAAAAAAGTTAATAAAAGGTATTCCTTATCAATTACTCTTTTTTTACTGACCCCTTTTGATACTTGGATTACATGTATGCATGTCCACTGTGGTTTTGTTTATGAGCTTTGTTTACACATAGATGTCACCAAGGAGTTTATTATTGGGCCTCCTCACCCATTTTTCCTACTTGGTGAATTTTAGGGAAGAAAAGTTTATTTTTTCTTACAACTGTTATTATTTGCTATAATATTTTTGGATAATAATAATGATAACAATAATAACAGTAATGATGGTAACATTTTTTTTTTTTTTCTACCCAAAAGTTAAAGGAATAGGATAAGTAGACAAGATCAAAAGGTCTAGCAATTGACTCTGTTATGACTAAGCATCTGCAAAGCATCTATAAGTAGAACAAAAAAAAACAGTGGATAGTGCATGTATCTTTTGCCATTGGGTTGAATTTAATATTTTGTATACTAGAAAGTACATAATGATAATAAGAAAGTTTGTAAATTTGTAGTAGCTGTGAACACAAAACTGTAATATATGCATATTAGATATATCTATCTCCATTAATCACCCTTTACTACCGGGTGGCATGTATGTACATGCCATGGCATGCCTGGACTATATTCCGGGTCGCATGTTCATATGTGCCATGTTCTGGAGGCATGCACATAGATGCCATGGCATGCCTGGACTATATTCCGGTTGGCATATGCATATGTGCCATGGTGCGTTGGTCCCACTTTCTGGGGGCATGTACTGTCATGCTACGCACACTATGGTACTGACACAATCCCTTGGCAGTGGGGCCCAGTTCACTATGAATACAGCATCAAAAAACTACCAAGTGGTATTAACCCATTGCCGCTGGGGAAAATGAACAAAAAATGGGGGAAATGCAGTACTCATTTTTTATATTTTTGTGAAATATCTCTGTCCATAGATGGCTCTGCTAGTCCTGATTTCACCTTTCCTTGAATTGGCGGGAAAAAACGTATTCTTACTAGTGCTATAAATATAGATGGTGTTATTTGTAACAGCAAATTAGGATAACGTTAAATATTTTTGTAAATCGTTGAAAAGGGTGAACGGGCAAGACAGGCAGTACTCGTAATTGGCTCATTGGATACTTAGTACAAGTGTAGCCATCTATGTGTAAAAACAATTGAACAAGTCGACTCACAGTGGGCATGGCATGTACGTACATGCCATCCCCGGCGGCAATGGGTTAAGTTAATACTAGAGTGCAGTATTGAGTTTATAAGCCATAATTGATACCTTATTCATGTAGATATAAACTACAGCTCAGGAAATTGGGAAATGGTAATTGATAATAGATGTAGATGTTATTTTGATTGGTTTTGCTCATTCTTCTTGCTCTTTAACACCAAGATTTTAAGCCAATATGCTTGCTAGTTTTAGGATCAAGTTTTATTGGTATTTGTGCTGTTTTATAGGGAAAAAAAGCTGGATGTAGCAAGTGCTAAGCAGCTCAGTATGAGTGGCAAGGAATGCATTAGGAAAAGGAAACTTTGGTTTTTTGTTTACTTTGCAATAAGCGAAGAATATACTTCTATTTTCTTTCTTCTTTTCAGCTGAAGGTAGCACTGCAAGCAATCCTCCGATGGCTCTGGTTGAAGCTTTTGTATATCCAGAATGTGAGAGAGAAGAGACGGTAATAATGCCTCCCAAACGATCTCGCCCATCTCTGGATGAAGATCCTACTATTCCTGTAATTACTGTAAGTCGTCCAACACCCGTTGGCCCAGCCCCAGCTGCAGGTGCAGTAGTTGGTCTTCCTGTAAGCACTCCTGGAGGGATTTCTGCAGGAGGGTTGTCACAGGCCCTCACCACAGCTATCAAGTGCTGGGATTTACTGAATTCCTATGAACAGCTTCGAGCAGGTCAGTCTCTAGGTTCACATGTGCATCTTCAGGCACCTATATTCACACTTTTGTATTTACTTTCAAAATAATGCCAAAAATATTAAGGGTGTTGAATGAAAAGAGGAAAAGTTTTTATAGATTTATGTATATGATTAATGTAAACTTTGTATATCAAATGAAAGTATGAATTCTGAATAGGATGATAATTCTTATCTTAGAATATTGGAAAAAAGCTATACTGTCAGATCTGTAGTTAAAGCTAACTGAAGCATTATTTACCATAGTTTTTCAGTTAATCCTAAAATGTAATAATTATTTAGTTTACTCAAATTGTTTGACAGCTAGCATAACTAGATAATATTATGATTTATAATTGTAGACACAGTCTCTTGAGTACTTTGTCAATATATTGAAATACAAGATTTCAATTTTATTACTGTGGCATTAACTAGAAGTCAAACTTTTCAGAATTTGTGCGTCTCTTAGAGAGCCTTGGCACTGAACGGTGGTGGTGGCTAAGAGTGTTTACAGTTGACATGCTGATTTATCAAGGTCGACTGGCAGAAGCAGCACGTGAGCTGAGACACACATTAACTCATCGAGGCACTCAGTTGCCAACTACCCTCATCAGCACAAACTTGAAATTAGCTTCTGTCTTATATGCCATGAACAACCTTTCTGTAAGTAATGAGATTTAATTTGAACATCATATTTTTGTATGAATATGAAGGAGATAAAGCAAATCAGAAATAAAAGCAGTCTATAATAAAATGGAAAATAATAGTTATTATACATATGTGTGTGTGTCTGTGTGTGCGTTGGAGGGTGTATATGTCACTATGTGTAAATGAAAGTATGTGCTTAGCTATGTACATATATTTATATATTTGTATATTTGTTTACATACTGTTATATTTATATATGTATCTTATTTATATATGTAATGCTTTGTCACAGGGGGCAGCAGAAGCTGTGCTTGAAGTAGTGACTCAATTACCAGGCTGGGTAGGTGGGGGAGGCCTCTCAGGAGACCTCTGTATCACAGCAGCTCCAAACAGACGTCATCTCCATGTACTGGCTTTGACTCGCTCTCAGTGCCTCCAGTTTGCCACAACCCTTCTTATACATGCTCTCAGACAAAGAATAATTATTGATAGGCACAGTGATGATCTATGTATAGGACATCTGATCACCCTTTTACAGGTTAGTAAGTTTTCTTTGTATATATCATAATGCAGCATATTTTAATAGCAAGATATATTTCATACTGTGTGAGATATACAACCAGATTTCATTATTTTCAACAGTATGAATGGCCAAAATATGTAAGTACATTTGAGGAAGTTCTTCAAATCATCAGAAAGCAAGGCGGATTCTCCTACCCACTTTTCTACACTTATATCACTACACCAGACATTCTTGAAGAATTTATGTATCTTGCTACCAAAGAAGGGGGAAGTTTGCAGTTGGACATCATTCCTGTCAACCATACAAATAAGTAAGTTTTTATAATTTATAGTATTATAGAGTTGAAAGTGACTATATGAACCTACAAATGCAAGATTTAATTTAATTGATTTTTTTTTATAAACTGATATAAAAGATATAGTCACATTAACAGTAGGACATTATTTTTCTTACCTAAATTGTTCAAATGGAGACCTATTAAAGCTTTATCCTGGATGCCAGTATTCACTGTTACTATTTTGGTATTAGAGAAGTTATAAGTTTGTTCTTGAATGTTTTTCAATCTACTTACAGACAACAAAGAACAATATCAACTCGTGGCATTGACAGAGATCTTAAGAATGACTTCAAGATTGGAATGAAGAAGCTCATGCTCCGAAGCTCAGAACCTGTTGAAGCTAATATCATTACCTTTTTGACTTGTGAGGGAACTTTGGTACATCAGAACTTAATGTGAGAGTGAAGTGATTAATCAACCTACAAATTATATATTTCTGGTGGTTAAGTATAATGACTGACAGTTTTCTAATAAAAACTAGTACAAGATACTATGATATTGTTTCTGTTCTCATTATTTCAGTCATCCGATTGGCTACAATACAGTATGATGTGGGAATCAGTAATATGGTGTGAAATTGCATATCCTCTTAATGCTTGGCAGTCTTTAAATATATCATGATGATTTTGACATTTCCACCATGCATCAAGATTGGAATACTTGCCTGTCTCCATTCATCCCTTGCCAAAACTAACAGTGAATGTTTTTTACCATAACATTCATCATAACCCAAGACTCCAAATGTGATTAGTAGCAAATGTACAGAGCTACGCAAATACACTGATCTTCTGTTCTACTTTACACAGATGTTATCAAATGTACCTTCATCATTTACTAAATAAGATGGGATCATCCACTGTAGATCAATTATGCTTTCTAACAGGAAAATTTAAAGACAGACCCAAAGATACTGAAACACTAATTATAAATTCATTATAAAGTCTAGGATCAAGATCTATTATCTGAAGTCAGACTACCTAAGATTTTCATTAGCAGACATCTTGAAAAGAAATTTAGCTCCCTTCTGATATTTTAACCCATTCTGAAATAGTTATTCCTTTCATTGGAGGATAAGGATTATTTTGGGTAATCCTGCATTGAATCACTGCACAGTTATACTAGTCAGAACACATCTTCCTTTTAAACCTGGACTTTTAACTGAATTTGGATGGGATTGTTTATAAGAACAAGATATCAGAAGTAATTTAATTTTTTTACCATTATTATTAATAGTATTACTATTATCTTTATTATTATGTATTATTATTATTATTATTATATCATTATTATTTTTATAATTATTAGTATTATTATCATTACTATAGTTATTATTATCATTATTATTATCATCATTAATATTATTATTATTATTATTATTATTATTATTGTTATTATTAGCATTATTATTTTGATCATTATCATCATCATCATCATTGTCACTGTCATTATTATTACCATTATCATCATTATCATCAAGTTTTTTTTTTTACCTTCATTAATGTTCTTTTATTATTATTGTTATTATCAATATCATAATTATGATAATTAGTAGTAGCAGTAGTAGTAGTAGTGTAGTGTCCGTATTATTATTATTATTATCATCATCATCATCATCATCATCATCATCATCATCATTATTATTATTATTGTTATTATCATTATTACTATTACTATTATTATTATTATTATTATTATTATTATTATCATTAATGTTATTATTGTTATCATTATTATTATCATAATTATTATCATTATCAGCATCAGCATCATAATCATCATTATTATTGTTTTCATTATTGTCATTATTACTATTACTAATGCAATTGTCATTATTATTGTTATTATTATTATTATTATTATTATTATTATTATTATTATCATAATCATTATCCTTATTATCATCATCATCATCATCATCATCATAATCATCATCATTATTATTGTTTACGTAATTGTCATTATTACTATTACTAATGCAATTATTATTGTTATTATTATTATTACTATTATTATTATTATTGTTATTATTATTATCACCATCATCATCATCATCATCATTATTATTATTATTAATATCATTGTTATTATTGCCATCATTAATGGTTTTATTATTATTATCATTATTATTATTATTATTATCATTATCAATAAAAATGAAGATAAATAAATTAATTAATATATTCATTATCATCATCATTATTATTGTTATCCTTATTATAATAATAATAATAATAATTATCATTATTATTGTTAATATAATCATTATCATTATTGTCATTGTTATTATTAATGTCATCATTACTATTATTGTTTTTATTTTTGTTAATATCTTTATTATCATTATCCTTCTCATCATTATTATCATTAGTAGTTGTAGTAGACTATCATTATCATCATCATTATCATCATCTTTATCTTCATCTTTCTTTTCATCTCCATCATCATCATTATCATTTCATTATCAGTACCATCGCTTAATCTATATTTTTTATTATCAGTGATATTATTATAACTAGCAAGAGTAGTAGTAGTAGTAGTAGTAGTAGTAGTAGTAGTAGTAGTAGTAGTAGTAGTAGTAGTAGTAGTAGTAGTAGTAGTAGTAGCAGTAGCAGCAGTAGTAGTGGTAGTAATAGTAGTGGTAGTAGTAGTAGTGGTATTATTATTATTATTATTATTATTATTATTAGTAGTAGTAGTAGTAGTAGTAGTAGTAGTAGTAGTAGTAGTAGTAGTAGTAGTAGTAGTAGTAGTGGTGGTGGTAGTAGTGGTATGAAATTGAAATCATAAGATATAGTTCACTGGGAGTCCAAGACCAAGAACATACTCTATTGAAGGAATAGAGATTAAAGAAAAGGTAGTTGCAAAAGACCAAGGGCAGTTTATGAGTAATGAAAGGAGTTTCAGTCACCACATTGAGCAGGCAACCAGTATGAGTGGATGGATGATGAAAGTGTTTTAGACAAGAGATCCAGAACACCTACTGCCATT